ACAGCAGCGAAGGAAGGCATTTTTATGAACTCAGTCCTGGCCAATGCTAACCATGCTGTCAACTGGCACAAGGCAATCATGGAGGAAAGACAGGAAGAGTAGGAGCTGAGGTAGGTGCTTGACTGTTGTGTTCTGGGATGAAAAGTGAAGCATTTGTTCAACTATGTTCATAGCAGCACTATTTGTAATAGCCAGAACCTTGAAAGAACCTAGGTGCCCCTCAATAGAAGAATGGATAAAGAAGGTGTGGCACATATACACTTTAGAGTTCTACTCAGCGATAAAAAACAGTGACATCTGAATTTTGCATGCAAATGGATGGAAATAGAAAACACTTTACTGAGTGAGGTAACACAGACCCAAAAAGAGGAATATGGTATGTACTCACTCATAAGTGGATTTTAGCCATAAACAAAGGACATTGAGCCTATAATTCGTGATCCTAGAGATGCTAAATAAGAAGGAGAACCTAAAGAAAACATATAGTTATCCTCCTGGATATTGGAAGGTGACAAAATTGCCAGGCAGGGGTTGAGAGCACAGGAGTGGGGGTGAAGTGGGGATAAGGGGAGATGGGGGAGAGAAGTGAGAAGGGGAGGATGGGGAAAGTTTGAGGGGATGGGATGGTTGGGATGAAGGAGGGGTGGATGTGGGAGCAGGGAAGTATATATCTTAATTAAGGGAGTCATTTTAGGGTTGGCAAGAGGTTGACTCTAGAAGGGTTTCCAGGTGTCTAAGGAGATGTCCACAGCTTGTTCCTTGAGCAGCAAAAGAAAGGGTGACTGAACTGGCCTTGTCCTATAGACACACTGACGAATATCTTTCATATTATCATAGAACCTTCCTCTGGTAATGGATGGAGATAGAGACAGAGACCCACATTGGAGCACTGAACTGAGCTCCCAAGGTCCTAATGAGGAGCAGAAGGAGGGAGTACATGAGCAAGGAAGTCAGGACCGTGAGGGGTATGTTCACCCACTGGGACGGTGGGACAGATCTAATGGGAGATCACCAAGGACAATTGGAATGGGACTGATGGAGCATGTGATCAAATCGGACTCTCTGAATGTGGCTGACGGTGGAGGCTGACTGAGAAGCCAAGGACAGTGGTGCTGGGCTTTGATTCTACTGCATGGACGGGCTTTGTGGGAGCCTTGTCTGTTTGGATGCTCACCTTCCTGGACCTGGAGGAGTGGGGAGGACCTTGGACTTCCCATTGGATAAGGAACCCTGACTGCTCTTTGGCCTGGAGAAGGAGGGGGAGGGAGAGTGAGGAGAGGGAAGGGGGATGGAAGTGGGAGGAGGGGAGGAGGTGAAAAATTTTAATAAAAAAAATGAAAATAAAATAAAAATAAAAAAATGAAATAATAAGAAAAGTGAGGCTTCGGAGATTAGAAGTGGAGTAGATGAATAATGAACAGGAGGTAAAGATAGAGCAGTGACGGCAAGGATTAAGGTTTCTATTGCTGTGAAGAGATAGTATGAGCATAGCAACTGTCATAAAGGTAGATACTTAATTGGGGCTGGTTTACAATTCAGAGGTTTAGTCTATTATATCATGGCAGGAAGCACAGCTGATGTGGTATTCCCCTCTGTATGCTGTGAATACCTTTGAGCCCATAGCAGAGAAAGGCAGAAAGAGATAGGCAGGGAAAACTCATGAATTCTGGGAAAAAGAAGTGTGGCATCAGAGAGAAGTCATGGAGTCACCACCAGAGATAGACATGCTGAAATTTTGCTGGTAGGCCACGACCTCATGGTGATTGATGCACAGATTAATGGAGATGGGTTAAATTAAGATGTAAGAGTTAACCAATATGAAGCTAGAGCTAATGAGCCAAGCAGTGATTTAATTAATACAATTCTTGTGTGATTATTTCGGAACTAAGTGGACGGAACCAACAAGCAGCCTTTCTACTACACATGAGTGCATGCAGGCAAACATGGTACTTCAAAAGGATCTGAGCAGACAGCCGGGGGAGACATTGAGCCTGGCTTAAGCTTTTGAAACCTCGAAGTCAACCTCCAGTGACATGCTTCCTTCAAGGCCATACATCCTAATATCTCTCAAGTAGCACTACTCCTTAATGATCAGGCATCCAAATATATGAACATCTGGGGGGTCATTCCTCTCTATATAAAAAAACCCACCACATGTATTTCAGGGGGAAATCATACAGTGTCTTCTACTCCTTGTATGTGCTTTTTAGTGAGGTGTGAAAATTTGAGTGAAAGGATTGATGTTTTATTTCATACCATGATGACTTGGTTACTACATTGGGTGGGGAAAGACAATCAATTGAATAGAATTTGAGAGGCTACTATGATGATTCAGATAACATATAAGTGTAGGGCAAGGGGAACTTCTCTGGATATATATTTCAAATAGTATGTACAAGATATATGCTCATGGATTAATGTGGGTGTGAAAAGAAAAGGGAATGGCTTCAATAACTCTTTGAGCATGGATTGCATTCCATGAAGGGTAAAATCACGAACGTATACACGAAATTGGGAGGTGAGTATCAAACCATCTCAGCTTTATGTCATGAGTACATGTAAGAATGACATCTCATAGTCAGTGCCTGGATTAAATACTCTGCCTTGATTAAAACGTTTCCTTCTGAGGAGCAGAATGACAGGTAAGTTGGAGTGAATGCCTGTTCTTTTTTTATATCCTCCATATGGGTAAGGCTGTTTAAAATACAATTGTGCATAGTCGCTATTCTGCAACTAATGACATAGCATCTAGTTTATTTCTGAGAATGCGAGTAGCTCAAGTTTGAAGATTGTAAAGCTCCCAGGGTTATGTGAATGTAGATTGCAGGCATTTTCATAAATCATTAAGTCCATCATGTCTAAGTCCACTTCTTGGTTGTGTAAATTAAACAAAATGTGAATGATAAAATAATTGTATTGCTCACTTTTATTGTGTTTGGACATGTTATGCTTTTCTGATCTAGTTCACAACTCTGCGTAGAGTTGAAGCAGAAACCACAAGCCAAGGTTTAATTTTCTAGTGAGCTGTCCTTATGAAGCTCAGCAATGCAGAGGGCTCAATCAATCCGATGCAGGTCAGTGAGTCTCACCCTGAGGAAACTCTGTAGCAACTAGCTGACTTTTTGTCCCTTCAGTGGTCACCGAGCGAGCATATCCTCCTAGCAAACCTCCATGCACTCTGCCTGGAATTAATAGACTTGGGGTTCACCACTGCCTTGCTCTCTAACCCCAGACCATCCATATGAACTCATTTGTTCTCTTTTTATTTGAGGAATGAAACGAGGAAAAAAATACCAGCTTCCTCTAAACCTCATAGACAGACTGTGAGAGTGTCAGGGGTATGGTAATCTTTTAATTAACAGATTACTTGGTATGTTTCTGGCCTGACATATTTATTTAAAAATATCAAACTCGATGATTCTTGAAAAATAGAACTTTTGGAAGTTTTCACTTGTAACCAAAATTCAATTGAATAATTTTCTTTGTCATAACAAGGGGTAAATAGTATTTTTTGGCATAAAGTAGTAATTAGGCTATAATATGAAAATCCAACATTTCTGAGGCAACTAAGCTAAGGGCATAATGGAAACTTCTTTCATTACTTCCACAACTCAGTTCTTGTAAAGCCTGTTGAAATTAGACCTCTTTTCCAGAACTCCACATCCTGCTCACTTTATTATTCTGTAAGATTTATAGCCCCTAAACAATTTTTGGGGAGAAATTGGTTAAAATGTGTACAGAAACATCTCAAGAGATGAAATGCTAAAAGTTGTTGAGATGTCTGTATCAGGGCTGCAAACTCACACACCTGAGTGAAGGTGTCACGGGGAAAAATAAACCATGCTGGGAGTGGGTAGAAAATATATACAGAATCACTTCTTTCACAGTGGTTTCTCCTTGGATAGCGGTAAACAGGTTTCTACTCCTTGAAACTGTACCTGATATCTCCTTCATTGACTCTTTAAACATCCCTGTTGATAGAGACCCTTCTGCTTGCTACCCCTCCCCCAATATGTCTTTTTTTCTAAAGATCTCATTTAGATAAAAAAAAAGTTGAGAACAGAATTTTGAATGACTGTCTCTATTCCTCCTGTCTAAGGGAACATCACAAGGCTGAAAGAAAGCTGAAGATGTGTCCTCCCTTTGATATCCTTTGAGATATCCTTGAAAGGCTCGAATGAACAGCCACTTTGGAAAGTCAGTTGGTACTACATTTTGTAGTAAATATTTAATGCCATAAAACAGATCCCTATTCTAGACTGAATAATTTACTTCCCTAGTAGCCATACGGAGGTGTGTGAATGGACAGCCCTTATCTTGTGCTCTTTCTGAGACTTTCCATAGTTTTGAGCACTCTGTAGACAGTACATGTAAATTTTAACATAGTATCTGCTCCATGAAGAAACTAATATATAATTTCTACCTAGATTGGAGAGGTATATTATAATTTAGCAATTCCACCAATCATATGTTCCTTAAATAATGTTATATGAATTTGCATCATTAGACATATGAGAATGCTCAGATAATTATGATGTATAATATCCTCAGTTTTGACTGTGTATGGTGGTATACATCTTTGATCTCTGCAATTAAGAAGCTGAATCAATGGAATCTCTGTGATTCTGATGCCACACCCTGTAACAAAACCAAAACCAAATGACAAGAACAAAAATATACCCAATTTGGGAAAATAAAAGTAAATCTGAATATCCATCTTCTGTAAAATAAGTTTTAAAAAAGTCAGTAAGTCACACAATTAGTACATATATGTGCTGAAAATGAGCAAGTTGTAGATTTATATACACAGTGTGTTGTATATCTGTTTGCCTGTGTGTGTGTGCTTGACCTGGTAAGGTATCTACAGTACAGTAAAGTAGATCAGTGTAAATATGAAAAATGTATGTTTTAAAATTAAGGCCAAAACATGGACTGTATTGTTTTAGAGATATGTGTGCAGGATTACAATTATGAGAAAAACTAATTTTCATAAATTCTAGGTGGTAATTATTTTCAGGAGGAGAACTAATGATCAGCTAATAGACCACATGGAAGATTCTAAGAAGTGGAAGTTTTCCATTTTTGCTTGCATATTGACTTGATATTAGCGTGAGTATTTGCTTTTGACTATTCAAAAGCATTTTGACGTGGGACCCTACAACAAGAAAGAGTTTGTCACTTGAATTTAATTGGGTTATATGCCTGTGCAAGCTTATATATCTTTGTTAGTGCAAAATGATTATTATTCATGACATCTTTAAACACCAGAAGTACTGAAAATTCTGTTTTTTTAATCAAAGGGTTATTATTTGAAGAAAAACAACATTATTTAAAACAATCTTGCATTAATTATAAGCTTGGTTGAGGTGATGAAATTTAGTTGAGACATTTTTCAAAAATTTCAGGTTTGCTACAGGCACTTACCTAACATAACTCAGGTCTATCTGGCTCCACTCCTGTGTTGTTGATGATCATGGAGCAAAGTATCATGCTGAGAGTGGTTGGAGTCAGTCAGGAAACAAGAGAGGAATGGAAGGCAGGGTTTTCTTCAAAGGCCTTATTAAAGCATGTTCTGGTTAGTCAGAAGATATCACTGAGCTCCAACTCTGAAAAGGTCTACTGCCTCCATCCTGTGCTACAAGCTGAGGGCAAATTCCTGATCACATGAACCTCTGAGGAGTAGTTAAGCAAACCACAGCATCTATCTTATTGCAGATATTCTCCAAAGAACTAGGGGAAAAACAGAAAAAAAATTACAAGAATTTCTGTCCCCAATGAATCTATACTTGTAAAGAGACAGCCTTCACAGCATTAGCACAAGTACCTGAGAAGAGAAGTCTTAAAGATTACCTCTTTGAATTAGATAAAATTCCTCTCATTTAGAAAAAATAAAAACAAAATCAAAAATTAAAGAGAAACAAAAAGAAAGTTAGGAAAACCTACGCATTCCTAAACCTGGATATCTAGTTCCATGTAGATAGAGAGTGAGTCACATGTATTCTTCATTAGTCTTCTTAATTTATCTACACAATGATAAATTTTCTTGCAGGAGAAAGATGATCAGATTATGATAAACAAGATGGCTAAGTCATAGAATCTGGATAAATAATATCCATCTGGTGTATGAGTTTCTTTTCTATTGCTGTGACCAAAATCAGCTTAAGATGAATCATTTTAATTTTTAAGCTATAGTACTATGAAAGAATTCATGGAAAAAACCAGACACTAACTTCAAGTAGAAACCATGGAGAAATTATATTTGCTAGTTTATCTTCAGGCTCATAATAAGATAGCCTTCTTACACAGTTCAGGACTATCTGCCTTGGGAATGGCGCCACCCACAGTGGACGGAGCCCTCCTTATCTTAGAGCAGTTCACAATTAAGACAATCCCAACTGAGACACATGCTTACTGGCTAGTCTAATCTGGGAAATTCCTCAATCATGGCTTTTCTCTCAGAAGATGCTAGGTTGTCTCAAACTGAACATTAGGGCTAACTAGGACATCTGTATCCTCAATAAGTTGTGTTATAAGACTTCCTCTATGCTCTTCAGAACGCAGACATATTCAAAACATTTTTCAACTTCTGTATACGTTCAGACTATGAGCAGAATATATTCAGAATATAATATTGTCGTGGGGAGGAAAGAAAGTTGTGAATTAAAAGTGCCCAGTGTCCAATTTGCGTGCTGTTGACCATCTTAAGGTATGAATTTCCTGTCACCATAGGACTCCCATGGATTTGTTGTCATGACCTCTCTGACACAATTTTTCAGAGGCAGACTGGTTTTCTGCATGAAATATAACTAACTATTGAAGATGGTGAATGATGGAAGCCACCCTATCTGGAATCTGACATCGTGGAAAGTGGGAGAAAAAAAGAGACATTGGTTAAGGGTGATATTATGGAGTTCCCAGACTAAATCTGTTTTGTGAATATATTAATTATATGAGCCAAAATGTTCTGTTTATAGACTTTTTGGTCTCAATTTTTGTTATGTCTAATAAAATATCTTCTCAGTACCTCATCATGACATAGTTCATTAAATGTAACAATTATAATTTGAGTTAAATAGCAAAAGCTTTTAATTTAACTGAGAAATTTCTGTAGAGTCTGAATGGATTTTGAAAGTGAGATAGACACTCTGGTACATGGTATGCAAACATATGGCCTGCAAACTTTCACGAAATTTAAAAATTTCTCTCCTGGAATGGAATACTAAAAAGAGAAAATCTGGAAGGATTTTAAATTGCATGCATTTAAATTCTTTAATTTACCATACAAATTAAAAATGTGCACATCTAAGCTTAATCGCAGCCATATGAAGCTCCTTTGCCTCCACACCTCTCTGCTGCCTTTTATTCCTGTAGAGCTTGCTCCTTCTTGCCCCTGGAAAATGCCTCTAAATCCCTGAGCCTGTCAGGTATCACAAGCGTGTAATTTCACTTTAACTAAATTCTAAAAACCAGTGAGAGGTGCATTTGACATGGAGACTGTGAAAGAGCCTTATCTACAGTGACACAACTGCTGCTCCCCTAATATCTATTAAGTAGCACGGAATTATAGTGTAACAACTCCGAAATTGCTTGTGACATCTGCATGAATATTAAATAGATTCGTTATGTTCAGACTTATTACAAAAAGGACTTTCTGAATTTTAAATGATTAAGACTTTTACAAATTAATAGTTACCCAGTGAATCACTTTCTAAAGGTACACACATTATTTAAAGATCACAGTTTAGCCGAATGTCGACAACGGCACCAACGATATTGCCACTTGTTTGAAAGTGTCATTTAGAGCAGTTAGTCCTAATGTTGAAAGCTTTCAGATGACATTATTTTAAGAAAAGTACACCTTTCCCCATCACTTTAAACTGCTTCCTGTCATTCTTCCTGTCTCCTTGGAGATGGTGAAGGAAAAAAAAAGTAACGAAGGAAGGAAATGATAAACGTCCACATTATGCAGAATTTGCCTTTTTGAAATCCCATTCCCACTGCACTAGCTGGAATTTTATAGAGATATAAATCACGAAGAAATAAGAAGCCAGTAATGAGAGAGAAGTATATTTGAAATATGGATGCAAATTCTTACCACCTGCTGAGCAAAAGGAGTCTGCAGAGACTGCCCTGGGAATGGCAGTGCCATTAGCATCTTGTAAGATCTAAATTTGCAGCAGTGGAATAGAGGAGTTATGCCTGCGAAAAGCCAAAGGCCCCTCTGATTTATCTCTCAGCTGAATGCTTCAGCCACTTCTACATAAATATTTTAACGGGAATTTAATTTTCATTTTCATCATGTGATAAATCTTTTTATTACCTGCCATCGTTTTGACCTAAAAGAGCTGCTTGCTTTTTCATGCCATTTGTGTTCATTCTTCTTTTGTGTTTGATAAATACCATTTTAATATACCAAGGAGCAATAGTTTTATTTACACAAGAATCTTGCTGGGGCTTCTTAATTTCAGTCACAAATTCTATTTATTTTGATGTGATTTATAAAGCAGTTATCAATTGGCTAATGTGTGACTGCACCATTTGTTCTTAAGACTTGGGCATTAAGAAACTAGTAGCCATCGGAAGAGGAGTTAAAGTCATATTACAAGGGCATGATCTCAGTGAATGTGCACTTAGAGTATTTGCTATGAAAGTGTACACAATACTTTATTATTATTATCATCATTATTGCCTGGGTTTCATCAAATGCTGTGTGAAGATGGAGGACTCTGAGTTTGACAGTGTCACATGCTGTTTAAGTTTCAAGTGCTACATTGACTGTTTGACCTTGTTGTGTCTGTATTCAGTAAAGAGGATGGTCAATCTCTTTCGTCCTCTAGGAGAAAAGTAAAGACCATTCCTTTTTCCATGCTGAGACAAATGACAGCGCAAAGTCGACCATCAACCTGGTATGGTTGAGATGCAAAAGCACCTCTGCAACTGGGTTAGTCAGCAGGACTTTGACAGTCAGAGCTTTGCCTGTATCAGCTCCCCTTATGTCTTCAGAAAGTTTTATGACAACATTTTACTTAAAGATACAAACAGAAGAGTCTCTTTAAAAATGAATAATGACAACAGAACAAGGAAAGTGTTTGTAGGCTTTGTTTGTCTGCTCTTGGTTTGCTTACTGAATAAATTTGTTCTTTCAGAACTGGAAGGATAACTCAATGGTGAAGAGCATTTGTTACTCCTACAGAAGACTGAAGTTTGGTTTCCAGCAGACACAGAACTATTAACAATCCTTTGTAACTCTAGCTGCAGGAAGATCTGATGCCCTCTTTTGTCCTCTACATGCACTCCATGAATGAACATATATATACAGAGAAACATATGTGTGTGTGTGTAAGATCTATATATCCTTTTAAAAAAGAAACAAACTATCTTTTCTCATTTTATATACCAATCCTAGTTTCTACTCCCTCTCCTCTTCCCATTCCCTCTACCTGCCCCATCAGCCTACCCCGCATCATTGCTCAGAGAGGGTAAGCACCTTGCTTTGGGGATGGTCCAAGACTCTCCCTGCTATATCTAGGCTGAGCAAGGTAACCATACAAAGAGTATATTCCCAAAATGCCAGTACAAACAGTAGGGATAAAACCTGGTGCCACTGCCAGTGGCCCTACAGTCTGCCATACTGTCATACAAAAGTCATATAAGCACATTTGTTCAACTATGTTCATAGCAGCATTGTTTGTAATAGCTAGAACCCAGAAACAAACTAGATGCCTCTCAGTCGAAGCGTGGATGACGAACATGTGGCACATTTACACATTAGAGTCCTACACAGCAGTAAGAAAACAATGCCATCTTGAAATTTTCATGCAAATGAATGGAACTGGAAAAAACCACCCTAAGTGAGGTAACCCAGACCCAGAAAGATGAACAAGGTTTGTACTCACCCATAAGTGGATACTAGCTATAAAGCAAAGGATATTGATCCTATAGTGCATGGTCCTAGAGAAGCTAAGTAACAAGGTGGACCCTAAGAAAAACATACATAAGTCCATGTGGAAAATGGAAATAGACAAGAGTGCCGGCCAAAATTGGGAACACAGGGGTGGAGGAAGAAGAGAGGATGGAAGGGAAACCAAAGGGGAGAAAGGGAGAGGTGAGGAGAACTTGAGTAAATGGGATAGATGAGATAGAGGAAGGACAGAGATGAGAGCAAGGAAAAAGATATTTTGATTGAGGGAGCCATTACGGGGCTAGCAAGAAACCTGGCACTAAAGAAAATCCAAGAAATCCACAAAGATGACCCCAGCTAAGACCCTAAGTAGTAGAGGAGATGGAGTCTGAATTGGCTTTGCTCTGTAGTCAAACAGATGAATATCTTAAATGTCACCATAGAGCCTTCATTCAGCAATTGTTGGAAACAGAGGGAGAGACCCACATCGGAGCACTAGATTGAGTTCCCAAAGTCCAGTTAAAGAGTGGGAGGAATGAGAATATGAGCAAGACCATGATGGGGACACCCACTGAAACAGCTTACCTGAACTAATGGGAGTGCACCAACTCCAGCCGGACAGGTAAGGATCCAGCATAGGTCCAAACTAGTCCCTCAGACACACACACACACACACACACACACACACACACACACACACGCACGCACACACACACACATATCTTAAAGAACGAAAAAAATAAATTTGTTCTTTGACAATATCATACACGAATATAAAGATAAAGCTTTCTGATTACTCTTACACCCACACCCTCTGGTTGTTTGTGGTTAATGAACATGGTATGAGTAAATTGCTAAGGTGACAGTCATTGACCCACTTAGTATCTACATCTTCTGTACTTGGTTTTGGCTTACATACAACTTATTTTACTAATTGAATTTTCTTAAAGAAATATCTTTCATCATTATATATAGACAAATAATTTTTAAATTTTATATCCAGGAGATGATAAATTTGTAAGTTTACAAAATTCCTTCTCTCTACTTGGCAGTGCCCTAATTTTTATCTTCCTGTAAATCTCAGCTATATAGAGAGGCCCTGCCAGTCGAATACATTGGTTGTTCATGTAGTTTTTTTGTGCCTTTGTCCACCCTTTACTGCCTACATGAATCATGCCCAGTTCTGAGTACAATGGACACATCTCTAAAGGATATATCTCTCATTTCAATTTCTTAGAAGCATGACATACTTTTATTCTTTATAATATCTCATCCTATTTTACGTTTTGCTGCAATCTGTACTGGATTTATTACTGCTTCTTTCAGGGTTCCCACTGAGTACCCTGCACATAGTAAGGATGCAAAAATGCTTATTAACAGAAAGCTGAGTGTGTTATGAAGAAATGATTTATTTTTATGAAGAAATAATCCCATAAATGGGATTAGCACATTTTTTCTGCTACTACTAACTTAAATAAATACAATAACAATAGACTAGTTTTGACTGAAAATAGGCTTTAATTAATTAATATGTGTATTGTTGTGTTGACTTCCTGGGCCCATCATTTATAAATTCTGACATGTTGTGCCTACATTTCCTCATGATTGAAAGGTAGGTATGATGATTATTAAGGAACCAAATGAGTTAAATTTAATAAATTAAGATGTACAAAGCATAGATCTGCAATGGCACATCCTCAATCCTGAAATCCTTCACACTATTAGCCTATTAGTTGCGCCTATACTTATTACTATTGATAATAAGGTTGGGTTTATTTTCTAAACCCCTTCCCACCAACTCCCACCAACATGTTTGGAGATGTTATATGGCTGCCAGTTTAGCTTCTTCTCACATTCCAGTCATTTTAAGGTACCCACCATCATACTTCTACCTTTGTTTCTTAGGTTTAATCTTGGCTGTCGTGTTTGTGCAGCTGCAAGATTCCCTGGTGAGAACGTGGTAAATAGCTCTCTTTGTGATCAAATTCCACTGATATTCCTTTATGCCAAAATAATAATGGAAAATATTTCATCTCC